CACTTAACCTCTTTTATCCTGTTTCCTCATCTATAAAACGGGAATAATCATAGCACCTAATTTGCAGTGTTGTGTGAGGACCAAATGAGATTTTATATATATAATATATAAAACTTTGCAAACCTTAAAGGATTATATAATTCTAGTTATGGTTATTATTATTATCATTATCATTATTATTATTTACAAATCATGCAAAATAGATACAGGATAACCTGAGTGGGGAGGCACTAGCAGCTGGGGGGGGGGGCGGGGAACAGGAAAAGCCTCATGCAGGAAATGGTTCTTTAGCTAAGGCTTGAAGGAAACAAGCTATTCCAAGAGATGAAGTGAAGAGGGAGAGCATTCCCGGTAATGAGGAACAGCCATTTCAAAGACAAAGACATAACACTAACAAGTCCAGGTTGGCTAGATTGAAGCATGCCAGGCTTATTTATTTAATATGGATGCCCAGATATTGAGTAGTAGGGATGTATGTGTGTGTGTATGTATATGATGACTAATAGACCCAGATAATTCTAAGAAGCAGTCTAGGATATAGTTGTTTTTTTCTTTTTAATAACATCACAATTTCTAGTTGACTTTATTAGGAAACTGCTGACTTTCAAGAAACATTGATATGAATTCAAGTCTTGCAAGCCCTATAATGGAACAGATACATCAAATGAAGCTTTGGAAATAAAGCTTTCACTTTGACGGCATTCTACCAAACACATGTATGAGACAGTAACTAAGACTGTTGGTGCTTAAACATTTTAGGGCCCCTATGGAAAGCAATACTAAAGCTTCATCTGAATTCTAAAAACATTGTGGTGTGCCAATCATCAGCATCTTATTAAAGATTAGTATTTGTAATTTATTTTATTTTATTTTTTTGGCAAGGCAATGGGGGTTAAGTGACTTGCCCAGAGTCACACAGCTAGTAAGTGTTATGTGTCTGAGGCTGCATTTGAACTCAGGTCCTCCTGATTTCAGGGCTAGTGCTCTATCCACTGTGCCACCTAGCTGCCCTTGTATTTTCTTTAAATATTTTTATTCTATCTTTACATCTCTCTGCCTACCTAGAAAGAAACTGAGAACAATTACTTATTCAGTGCTATATATTGTGTGTACATGCATATATATATACATTATATTTGCGTAATAAATGATAAATCCAAATATGTTTATTATATATATAAATAATAGAGTATGTGGATGATATTATTATTACATTTACAATGAGTTGATGTCATGTCAAACCAAATCAGAAATTCTTGACTTCTTTAACACATTAGAAGAACTTCCAATATTGATGTTTGGGGAGGACTTTGCTTTTACTGCTTTAAATGATGGCTTCGACTTGGTATTCTTTTAAAGTAAGTTACGTTGGATTACAAATCTTAACTAAAGCTGAAGTGAGGGAACAAGAATTTGTGATCCCCAACTACCCCTCACATGGTGAATAGATACATTGGCTGTCACGAAGGCCTCTTATGTTACATCTCAGTGAGATGACTCCATTTCTAATGTTGGTGTCAACTTAGAACCAAATGTCTGAAAAACTATTAAGGTTATCCTTGCATCACAATGAATTGTCCTTCCCCTTTAAATGTCACATCAGACCTATATGAGAGTGCAACAGGTGATATAGAATAGTTTATCCTAATTATTTTAACTCAAAGTCAATCTTTCAGCTGAAAGATGTGTTTGTTTAGGTTATTTTCTCCTTTTCCCTCAAACAATTTTATTTATTTAAGGTCAAAATGAGCATTTTCTTATCCCAGTTTGAAAGATAATTACAACTGTTATTCTCTATTTGGGAGTCATGGTTGAGAGAAGGAGGGAAATCAAATTCTGGAGAATTTCCACAGGAGTTGAAAATAGTGACATTTCAGAGATCTCATTACTCGTTTGGTAATAGTGGCTGCAACTAACTCTTTTTATGCCTGGAGTAAATACAAATCTCCCTCAAGGAGGTGCTCACCTGGGGTTGAGGAAGTGTATACCATCTGTTAGCTTCCTATTTGAACTAATTATTTTTGCTACCTAGGGGCTAAGCTCAGTTATTTCCAAGCTATAGAAGGACAGCAGACACTATCAATGTCCACTAAACGCTGTTGCCCGGGGACAAAGTTCTTATTACCCTTCCTTGTTTACAACTTTGGTGGCCTGGGTAATAAAATAAAAATTTTTCCCAAGGAGTGAGCAAGATTCTTCTTTTTTTTGGTCTTTTCCCATATGTTCTCACTACCAAACTATTCTATGCTGGGGGAAAAAATGGTAATCATCACCTGAAACTTCTTAGCTCACTTTATACATGGTCACCACTTCTATCCCTCTAGTTACTGTTCCATTGATTTGCCTTTACCTGGAAGTGTCTTTCCCACCTTCTTTCTTTTAGTTTATTTTAATAGTTTGTTTCCTATCACTCTTCCAAATAAGCACCTCCCTTCCCTAACTTACAGAGAGTTGCATATTTGGAAAATAAACTATGAAAAAAGATGAATATTACATTTTAATGAAATACAAATTGATTCACCCAATCACCTGAGCTTAAAAAGTCAATGTCAGAGGATCATAGAACTAAATTTAGAAGGTCCCTTAGTAGGTAGGTACTTAGTCTAACTACCTCATTTTAGAGTGAAGAAAATGGAGATCTAGAGAGACAAAGTGACTTGCTTCACAAGTAGTAAGTTGTAGAGTTTGGATTTGAACTCAGATCGTGTTACTCCAAGTTCACACTCTTTGTACTCCTCATTTTTTTTTTTTACTTTTCTCATTCCCCTAACTGTCACATCCAATGTTTCTAAGGTAATTCCATGATGTCATTCACATAAGTTCCTCCATCTCTGTCCTCACCACCACCTAGTTGAGGTATATGATTGAAAACTTCCAAAAAGTAGACCCCACCACCTCTGAGTCCATTCCACTTTGGGATAATTTTTAGGAAGGTTTTTTTTTCCTCTTTAGATCAATTCTGATATTCCCTGACTGCAAATTCCACCAGTTACTCCATTTCTGTTCCCTAGAATCAAGTAGAACAAGTAAAATATGCCTTCTATATGACCCTCCTTCAAAATCAAAGACTATTTTCTCATCCTTTCTGAGTCTTCTTTTCTCCTGATTAAACATGTCTGGCACCTTGTATGGCATATACATATTCATATATGTATGGCATATACATATATTCCTCTAACCTTCTGATAACCATCCTCTAGAGGCATCCCAGTCGACCAGTATCAGTGCTAAAATTCAGCAAAAAAGAAGTGAACGTTCCACTGCAGATGTTATCTAACTGAGATTACATACTTCAAAACTAGCTCCTCCCTGGTACTCCTTTCTAGATCTTCTATTTTAAGGAAAGTACCCAGACCAGGCAGGTTCACTCCTTACTCCTCTATCTCCATTCCTGACTATCTAAATTGCTTTCTCCATCATTATGCAGCAGCCTTCTTGCCCTGAAGATTTTTCTGCCCCTATAACCCTTTCTTCTGATGGGTGAGTTTTTCTTAAAAACTCTATTTTAGGAAAAGTGCTGAGATTAGCCATGTTTAGTCCTTCATACCTCTTTGCACTCATCTCCTGGTTTTCTTTCTCCAGACAGTTACATCTGTCCCATTCCTCCATTTCATCTTCCTTTATCAATTGTCTTCTTCCATTACAATGTAAGTGACTTGAGGGCAAGGGTTTTCTTTCTTTTTTGACTGGATTTGACTTCCAGTGCTTACTTTACCCTTTGTAAAGGATTGAATGCTTGTTGATTGGACTTCATTTGCTCAGATTATGTCTACTAATGTAGTTGAACATTATATTACCTTTTTTGGGTACCACATCGAGCTGTTGGCTCATGTAGAGCTTGTAAACGCACTCAGACTAATGTCTTTTTCACATGGCATGTTTTCACATGCCACCTCTCCTAGCCTGTGCTTGTACACCTGGTTTTCTGAAATCAAAATTTGCATGTACATTTTTATATTTTATGCTTTCCTTTAAGCTACATCCCAAAGACCATCCCTTTAAAGAACCATTCTCTGATCTCTGTAGCTTTAAACAATTTGTCATTCTTTAGAACTATTATATTATTTTGTGCCTATGTTAAATATTATGCTTACTGACTATTATACCTAGTTGTGTATTTGTGTCTTTATAGTGTTTTATATATGAGTTTTATTATTAATTGTATATATTAGATTTATAATGTTTTATGTTAGTGTTTTATATAAGAATGTTTCATAATTTTTTTTTTTAATGAACAAGTAAAAACTTCTGAAAATTCAGTATATGTGCTTTGTGCATTACCCATAGAGCAATGTGTAGATAGACTGGATTGAAAGAATGGAAAGGTTTTGCCACATTAATTATTAAACAGATTTTAAAAGACAGTATCTTCTAGGTTTACTTTTTTGTCTGGGTCTGAGTAGTCATTTTAGATTCTTTTATTGAAAAGTCTAAATGTAGCTTTAAAGGAAATCTCTATGCTTCAGAATTTCTCCAGAGAATTAAGGTGTGTTCAAAATATCCGACTGGGAGAAATCACCTGCTTTGGGAAATTTGCAAATGATTGCATATTTAGATATTCGCCAGTCTCGTAAAAAAAAAATACCAAATTTCAAAGGCTGCGTTGAGATGCAGAGTAGGTTAATTTATGCAACTCAGTTATTGTGCCCCATAATAGCATATTCTACCTCACATTAACTAATACTTTTCTAATACCTTCCTTTAAAGGCTATTATAATTACTCTGCAGATAACACTGAGTAATTGATCAAACATTTACTGAACTTAAAATAAGAAATTTTTATATATATATATAAATATATAGATATGTGTGTATATATAAATATATATTTCCCACTTATAATATTCCCCTGGGAATGGGGTGGAAGAGTGGTGCCCTGAAACTAAAGATAAACTTTTTAATAAAAAACAAGTTATCCAAGGAAAAAATATCTTGAAATTATTGTTAAAATGTGTTTTCTTCAACTAACATCTTTAAATATTATTTTTCTTTTTAGTAAAGTGCAACACTGAAGAAAGAAGATAAAGAATAAAAGATCACGGACTTTGTAAAGTGAACAGTAAGTCCTTTAATAGAAAAATAATGACTGTATCACTGCCATAAAGTTCATCTGTCATACACATACTTCTGTTAGACATATGCACTCCCCTTCCCTTTACCAAGATGAGAAATTGATATCGTAAACAATCACAGCCTTCTCTTAAAACTCAATTTCATTTTACTGGAGTGGATTGTGAATCATTTATCCCATAATCCTCTTAGATCAGAAGGCAAGATAATCCTTGTGATATATCTTTATGGCACTTTATACAGAAAACTTTAATAACGAATTCAGAGTTCTCATTAAAAAAAAACAAAAGTTCATTATTTTGAATGTTAGAAATTCTGGTAGAAACAAAGCTATTAAATTTGGTCATCTTGATCTTAGTGAAAATGATTTGGGATTTTTTTCCCATTCTGCATTATAAAAAGCATTTAGTATAAGCTGAATTTATGGGTTTTCTTATCTCTTTATAGTCATTAAATCAGAATGAAAAATGGTTGAGTTAACTATAAATAATGTATATATTGTATCTGTTGCTTGATTAGTCCTTTATTTCTGCTACTCTTTAACTAAATTTACATTTTCACTATTCAATGGTTATCTATGAAATCTGATGGCAAGCATCTTTAATAATTTCTTATTTAGTAATCATCTAGTAGAAATAATTTGCACCTTTTTGGTTGAATTATAAAGAATACATAAGTTTAGGCAACTACATTCTGAAGATGTATCTGTAATAAGTAAAATGGCAGATGGCAATGCAAATTCCACAATGATGAGTCTTATTGAATCATTTTTCATACCATTGGTAATTTAAGATTCTGTCATGAACCTACAAATGCAATTATTAAGTAATTGTGGCTAAGTTTTTTTAAACAGAAAGAATGTGGTATTGTGGACAGGACCATCACAGAAGATACGTTGGAATTTTAAGATGAGGTTAAAGAACTAAATTCAAAGGAAGGTCTGTAAGACTGATGCAAAGAAAACATCATGCCTTTTTGTGGACCCCTATCAAATGGGATCACAAAATGAAATTTCTTTATCCTAGCAAGCCTCTATTCACTAAACCAACATGAATCCATAACTTATTATAAATGAATGTATGATTGACAGCAGCTTATTCATTGAATAGTGGATCAATCCTTTTCTTTGTTGTTGCAAATGACTATTTCTTTTCAATGCCTTCCATTTAGTCCTGGGGTAAAAGGAAAGAGGCAGGGTTGAAGAACTTTTCTCTGTTCATCTATCTGAAGTAATGTCCTTATCTAGTTTGGCACTACATTGAGAGCTCTCTCATTTAGCTGCCTATCAGAATCCACAAATAAGGCTTAATCTTTCTACTTTTTTTTAATCTTCTCATATCTTTTTTTTACCCCACTCCACTTAATAGATGAGGGTTTAAGGAATTGTTTAAAATACAGTTGCTGAACTCAAGTTTTAAACAATAGAATTAGAAAACCCAAAATGCAAACTTTACATATCCCAACTATACTATGAAAAAGTTAAAAAAAAAAATCTCAGACAGTGGACAAGTGTTTCAGTTTTTTAAAAGATCTGATTGAGAAAATTTTGGCCTTCTCCATGCAATGTATGGTACTCATAGTTGAAAAAATTAAGAAGTTTTTTTTATATATATTCCACATTTCTATTTATGGGCAAAAATATGATTTTTTTAGTGTGTCAGAAAGGTCTTGATTGGATTGGATTGTGAAGTCTGATTAAGTAAAGGTCCTATTTGTATTCTAGTTATTTCAGTCATCTTACTGTTGTGAGTGAATCAAATCTTAGTGTTAATTTGCTGATCCCCTGTTGTGTCCTTGCCATCATAAGTGAGTCACATAAATTTGACTTTTTTTGAGCTGATTAATTTCTTAGGAATATTTTCAAGTATATTGGTATGACCACAAATATAAGTTGCTTTTTAATGGGCAAATAGGTTGGGTATTATTACAAAAAGCTTATGACAGGGCTATATAATAGTTTTCTTAACCCTTACAAATTTCTCTGTCTGTAGCATTGCTATGTCACCATTTTTGTAAAGGTCCTTTGAGGTCAGTGATCTCATCATTAGAGTTGGTCATTGGCTTTCCATCCCTGGTCTTATAGTGAAATACCATTCAGTCCTGACCTCGAGGTTCTTTGACATTAAATCAATAAGCATTGATTAAGTGCTTATAATGTTCAAGACACTATGTTATTTACTGGGAATATATAGGCAAAAGCCAGTCCCTGCCCTCAAGGAGTTTACATTTTAACCAGGGAGATAAGATGTAAACAGCTATGTATGTATAAGTTATACACAGGATAAACTGGGTATAAGTCAACAGTTTTCAAAGAGTCAGATCAAAAGTCTGTTCTAAAATCACAGATTTATTGAGCATCTTAGTCATTCAAGCAATGAGACGAGTAGGCAGTGTGGTACTGTGAAAAGTGCATTGGATTTAAAGTCCAAGGTGCTCCCTTTGTCATTCAGTCCCAGTGGGATGGTGGGCAAATCACTTACCTAGTATAGGTCTAGGTTTCCTCATCTGTAAAATGAGAGGGTTGTGCCAGCTATTTTCTGAGGGTGTCACCAATCTCATTCCATAATCTTAAAATATATGATGTCTCCTAGCTCTGAATCTATGATTCTGTAACTTTGTGATGTTATTTAGAATGAGCCCAGAAAAGACAGTGAGTGTAAGGTTAAAGGCAAGACTAGCACCTTTCTTCTCATGCATACTTTGTGATTTATGGAAGTTTCTCTATTAACTTTTTAATGATTGATTTCTGTTTAACCAGTACATAGACATAAATAGCATGAAAGGGTCATGTGCTGTCATTATCTTCAAGTTCTCATGATTATCACATGCTGTTTCTTCCTGAAGTTTTTCTTCTAAAATAATTAGAAAGAAATGTGCTATAGATTAAGTTGGAATTACTGGAGTCTAACATGTAGTTTAAAGTGTGCCTCTGCTTCCAAAGATGACATGAAATAGAGACCAGAATATAAAAAGTGATATGAGGTAAGAAGCCAGATAATACAGCAAATGATTTCTCTGTCTTTATCTATGGAACTCATGTTTAGGTTGCAAAGCATGAATTATGGATAAGTTACAATTTATATTTGGATTTTAACCTTAAGATGGATAGACTTTCTTTCTTTGGAAAAGTAAAATGGAATCCATTGTAATTTTGACTTGAAGTCAAAGTTTTAAGTAGAATTTTGTTAATTGATCAAAATGTGTTAGAATTTAACAAATTGGGGGTGGAGCCAAGATGGCGTAGGGAAAGCAGTGACTGTCTTGAGCTCTGTCCCAAAGCCCACCAAATACCTAAAAAAATGGCTCTAAAGAAATTCTAAAGCAGCAGAACCCACAAAAATACAGAGTGAAACAAATTTCCAGCCATAGAGAGCCTGAATGGTTGATAGGAAAGGTATATCGCACCAGGTAGGGAGAGGAGCGCAGTTGGGTGTGGGCGCGCAGGCCGCAGCAACCCTGGAGCAGGCCTCAGAGGACTGAATTTCGGCCATCTGTGGTGGTTTCCAGACTTCTCAACCCAGGAATGCCAAAGAAAATGTGGAAGGTCAGTGGGAAAAGTCTGTGACTGCGGTGAGAGAGGAGCTAGGTCTCAGCCACAAGTCTCGAGCTTGGCCTGGGGCAGTGACTGTTTCCTGAGCTTCAAGCCCACAGACTGAGGGGGAATCCAGTGGCTGATCAGAGGGGAATTGCAAGGATCTCTTTGCCAGTGCTGAGGCAGGAATCTCTTACTTTATTTGTGCTTGGATCTGGGAGTTCTGAGGGGTGGTCCTGGGGCGAGGAAGAGCACTGGTGTGGTGAAGCTTGTTGTGACTGTGGAGAGGAAACACCTCGCCCCTTATCATACCACCTTGGAAGAACTGAAAATCTACAGGTCCCTAGAAGTACCTCTGAAAACAGATGTACAAACCCCCAAAGCTTGGGATAGTACACTCTTCACATTGGAAGCAGACTTTTACCTTAACAAAGAGTTTAAAACTCAAGTAATTGGCCAGCATCATGAGTAAACAGCACAAAAAGAGTCAGACTATATTATCTTACTTTGGTGACAAAGAAAATCAAAACATACAACCAGAAGAAGACAACAAAGCCAAAGCTCCTACATCCAAAGCCTCCAAGAAAAATATGAATCAGTCCCAGGCCTTGGAAGAGCTCAAAAGGGATTTTGAGAAGCAAGTAAGAGAAGTAGAGGAAAAACTGAGAGTGATGCAAGAAAATCATGAAAAACAAGTCAACAGCTTGCTAAAGGGGACCCAAAAAAATACTGAAGAAAATAACACCTTAAAAAATAGCCTAACCCAAATGGCAAAAGAGGTCCAAAAAGCCAATGAGGAGAAGAATGCCCTAAAAAGCAAAATTGGCCAAATGGAAAAGGAAGTCCAAAAGATTACTGAAGAAAATACTTCCTTAAAAATTAGAACAGAGCAATTGGAAGCTAGTGACTTTATGAGAAATCAAGACACTGTAAAACAAATCCAAAAGAATGAAAAATTAGAAAACAATGTGAAATATCTCATTGGAAAAACAACTGACCTGGAAAATAGATCCAGGAGAGAGAATTTAAAAATTATTGAACTATCTGAAAGCCATGATAAAAAAAAGAGCCTAGATATCATCTTTCAAAAAATTATCAAGGAAAACTCTCCTGATATCTTAGAACCAGAGGGCAAAATGGAAATGGAAAGAATCCACCAATCTCCTCCTGAAAGAGATCCCCAAAGGAAGACTCCTGGGAATATTGTAGCCAAATTCCAGAGTTCCCAGTTCAAGGAGAAAATATTACAAGCAGCCAGAAAGAAACAATTCAAGTATTGTGGAAACACAATCAGGATAACACAAGATTTAGCTGCTTCTACATTAAGGAGCCACAGGGCATGGAATATAATATTCCAGAGAGCAAAGGAGATAGGATTACAACCAAGAATCACCTACCCAGCAAAACTGAGTATAATCCTGCAGGGAAAAAAATGGTCATTCAGTGAAATAGAGGAC